ATTCAACGAAAGGACATGCAACGAAGAAACGCAAATTACAGAGCAATAACATTTTCAAAAGAGAACAAAAATATTTTTGCAAGGCAATTAAAAGGTAGAAACAACTTTAAAAATAATCAATTCTTCAAATGCATTGAAATAAAAAGATGTAGTTAATTAATACAAGCTTTAATAGCGTTAAAGAAATATGAGAATGAAATAGTAAAAAAAGAATAATAATAATGGAAACAAATTGGCTATATACCTGCAATCAGCCTCTGGATGTGAATTTTCAGTGGTACACCTTTTATTGTGGTTGTGTATAATGGAACCATGACAGACAAATCGAAAGAGATGTAAATGAAAAGTGAAAATAATTATTATATGAATGTGTTAATTAATTGATGAGTTTAACTGACGATTCGGAATAAAACATGGTGGTAGACGTCATTGCAATTTTTGTACAACATCTTCATTATTACATTCTATCGTCAATCAAATATTTACACGTTTACCGATTCGACGGTGGTGGGCCATAACAATCAGAAAACTGATTTATTAAATAATTTAAATATTGATAATATATAGGGCGTTAAGTTCATTGAAAAATATATTAAACCAATGGTAAATTCACTAACTGGCTAATTGAGTTCCGCTGATAAAAAAAAACGTTAATTGAAAATTGGTCAAATATGTGAAATTAAGATGAGGGAAGTAACTTGCCATTATTGTCATAAATTTATTTATCTATTTTATAACTGGCCATTATTTTCATATATTTATTTATTTATTTATTTTTGCTTCAAAAATAGTTGTAATATGTGTTTATACATCAACCACAAGAGCTCTTAAGTTTGTGGAAATTAAATCGACTTTATATATGGATAAATGTTATTGGCGTGTGTGTGTTTTTAGTTAAAAACTTTAGTCAGGCCGTTTCGAACTTGGTCCAGTCAGAAAGGACCAAAGGTTATCGGGACCCTTCATCATCCTAGATATGTTTACCAGGTACTTGCACCTACATTATATGTTGCTAGATATACGAGGTTTGATGAAATAAGTAAAAACGATGTTAAGTTTGTCCCGGTCGAACTTTTTATACCCTAGGAGAAAAATCATGTTATGATAGCAACATACACATGGCATGTAATTACAGAAGGTAGTCTTATTTGAGATTTTTTTTGATGGCAACTCTTTTTAATTTGGAATTTATATATCAATTTCAAATAAAATGACAAATAAATTCAATAAAATTTTATGTACATATGTCGACTGGCAAATTTTAAATCAATTAAACAAAATATATTTGCTAAAGCTGAACATTGCTCACAAGATTTAAACATGGTTGTTACAACTTATATTTAAACGTTTTAGAAGCAGGGAACTTCAAAATATTTATAAATATAAAGTATTTAGCATTTGTCGGTGCCCAAATTCGCCAAAATACCGAATATAAAGGAGTAGCGTCATATGGGGTTCAATGAGAACCGAAAGTACCAATTTACATCATTCTCAATCGTATAAAACGGCATTCGTTTTATCGTTACCTTGATTTTTTGGGAAAGTTACCCTTCAACTAGGTCTTAATTCGGTTTTGGTTTTGTGGGTAAGAGAACTGGTGCCTGATCATGGTGCAGAATCAATGACTAGTTTTTCCACAATACTGTGCGTTACTGACGGATGGCTTCGAGCAAGCTGCTCATGACTCCATGGTAGTATTTCTTATACACCTCATGACTGACTATTGCAGTCTAAACCAGTAAGGAAAGTAGTAAAGTCGGGCGGGGCCGACTATATGATACCCTTCACCACTAGTGGTATATTAAACAGGACTATTAACATGAAATTTGATGAAATAAAATATGTGATATTTATCTAACTGTGAATCGACTTCAAACAAATATCAATAGGTCATCCATTGGGCTATGTCTGTACTTCTAGAAAACGCAACTACGTAATTCTATGTTCAATTTTGTACGTTGTGCAAAATTGGATGTCAATCTGAGTAACATGAGGAGTTTGATATCCAATTTACTTGTCGCAGGCTAGGTTATACTAAGTTTAGTAGGTTTTGTTCCTATCAGCCATATATTGGATCCTTGGTGCGTCAATTACCTGAAATCAATCTATAATATAAGGGAGCTATATCTAAATCTGAACCGATTTTCACGAAACTTAGCACACATCAGTCTGGACTAAATTCAGTACGCTATGCCAAATTTTGTGCAAATCGAAGGATATATAGGGACTTTGGTGCACCATTTACATGAAATCGGACGAAACTATATATGGGAGCTATATCTGAATCTTGACCGATTATCACGAAACTTGGCAGACATCATTGTATGCTCAGTTCAGTACGTTATTCCAAATTTCGTTCAAATCGAAAGATATATGTGGACTGTGGTGCACCATTTACATTAAATGCCATGGGAATATTCTGTTTCCACGCATGACAAACATCACTCTAGGCTCAATTCAGTACGTTATGCCAAATTTGGTGGAAATCGAAAGATATATAGAGACTTTGGTGCACCATTTACATGAAATCGGACGAAACTATATATGGGAGCTATATCTAAATCTATACCGATTTTCACGAAACTTGGCAGACATCATTCTAGGCTCAATTCAGTACGTTTTAGCAAATTTCGTGCAAATCGACAGATATATAGGGTCTTTAATGCACATTTTACCTTAAATCGGACGAAGCTATATACTGGAGCTATATCTAAATCTGGACCGATTTTCAAGAAACTTGGCACACATCATTCTATGCCTAATTCAGTACGCTGTGCAAAATTTCGTGCAAATCGAAAGTTATTTAATGACTTTGGTGCACAATTTACCTTAAGGGAACCCCACCCATTCTCGATTTTAATTTTTCAAGATTTTCAATGGGCTAGTAAATCAATACCAATGCTTGTTAAGGTTTGTAACTTTGCACATATATATTTGAAGATTTGAAGGAGAAGAAAAATAATTTACAAAAACAAATTGTTATTGTTTTGTTGTTGTTTTTTGTAATTAAAGAAAAGTCCTTTTTTGATGGCGGGCAACTCCTCACTGGAACATCGGAATCAGAAAATTCCAACTCGTATGAACTAGGACTGGCTCTCGTATGAACTAGGATTATTGACTTCGCTTTAAATTCTTGAATTAGTGTAGAATCGAATTAAATCAAAAAAAAATTGATCCCGAGAATGGGGGGTCCCCTTAATTCGGACGAAAATATATATGGGAGCTATATCTAAATCTGAACCGATTTTTTCCCAATTTCAATAGGGTTCGTCCTTGGGCCAAATGAATGAGCTGTGTCAATTTTCATCCAATTCGAATAATAAATGTGACCTGTACATTGTTTACAATTTGACATGGACAGACGGACATGCGTAAATCGACTTAGAAAGTTATTATATACATATTCTCAAAAGGAACCATGGGTCTATCTCGATTCCTTTTGCCTGTTACAAACATATGCACATACCCTTCACCACACTGTGGTGTGTATAAAAATGGAATGTAAACCATCACATGTTCAAATAAGGTGACCGTATTGAGCCTTATTGGACGTACGATTTTGTTGCAAAAATTGATGATGATGAAAATATCAGTTAAATTTGCATGGTTGCTGATCAGCAACCTCAATGCCTTCTTTTTTATTGGTAGTGTACGTGTTCGGCCTTGAACCAGTTTTGTTCATGGGGTCTACCATGGCACAATAAATAGGTAGTTCATATGGAACAGCTGATATCTTGAGTATTTGTGAAAACACATATTATTCATTTGAATTCGTCGCCAATGCTGACAACATTACAATAATAAGTTCGTTCGTTTACTTTCCCAGCAACATTTAGTAAGAAAGAATTTACAGTTTCTTTGATAAATTTTGTCGAATTCATATGAAATCTGAATATATTAAAGACGAGCCCTATAAATAATTCTAACCCGATTTAAAGCAGACATGACACACGCCATGTTCGTGCCAATCGGCCTTTGGTAAATCGATTTTAACAAAACTCAAAACTCACGGGCGGAAGACGGACATACAAACATTCACAAATCGACTCATAAAGTTATTCGTTATATATCCTCAAGAAGGAAATCTTGTTTCCTTCTTCATGTTACACCAACGACATTATAATTTATAAGGACTGGTGCAGGGTATAAATATTGGATATACAAAACTATTTCTTGGAAAATTTGACGATTCATGGAAATATAACATTTGACCAATTTTTTCAACATTTTTGCTTTTGGCAAGCCTTAAAGTATCCTTCCCGTTTACGGATTTTCCTAGGTACAATAACTTATCAGAACTTTACGCCATTTACAATTTGTGTTGTGTCATTTTTCTGAGTGTTATTATTTTGTAAAGTGAAAAGTAAGAGATTTATGAAACACATGAAGGTAAAATGAAAATAAATGAATGGCGGCTAGCGATGGCAACATGAAAAATAATAAGAAAAAGCAAACTCCACAAAAAAGGAAAAAGAAAAAATGGATGAAAATGGCATCATGGAAATGAATTGAAAAACTGAGATGTTTATCATGGCAAAGGCTCATGTTTTAACTTGGGTGAAATGGTATTTCGCCCGTTGTAACAGAGATCTGAGCGAAATATTAATCACTGGCCTTTACGAAAAAGGCAGACAGGCGGGCATCTTTAGGAGCATGACTCTAACCACCTTTCCAAGCATCCATATCCGTAACGAAACAAACGACAACAACAACAACAATTTACATTCAGTTGTGAGAAATATTTTTAATGAAATTTCCTTGGAGAAATTAATGCTGAATGAAAATAACACACACACACTCACAGGCACACTCACGCAAATAGAAATGTCAAGGAATTGTGAAATAAATGTTCTCTAAATTAACGGACGCTACACTGTTTAGATGACAAGTAGATGTTGAAACGGACTGACATACAGAGAGACAGACAGACAGACAGATAGGCGGATAGATAGACACTGACGCTGTAACAATAAATATGAATTAATAATACTAGCAATTACCCCAAAGTGGAGCCGGTAATAAGCTCTGCCTGAGCACTTAATGTCTCGGCAATGAATTCATCATTGTAGGCATCCTTGGGACGATACCAACGTCGACCACCGGGCAATACCAAGGGACGGTCCGAGGCTGGTGTTAAAGGGCCAAAAGCTCGTTTCGAACGTTTAGGATTACTCTTGCGCTCCAAATGTTCTTCCAGCTCGCCAATGACTTCGTGTTTGTGGTCCTTTAGTCGTGGTGGTGGTGAGGGGGTGAGGTGGTGTGACCAACGTGTCAGGTTTTTTGATTAGTAGAGTTTTTTGTTGTTGTAGATGTTGTTGTTGCCATTCATTAGTGTGCAGTCGCATATTTAACATTTATCAATACGGCAGCAGTATTATGAATATTTTGTTCGATTATGAAAACAACCAAGCAACATATTTTTATTGAATTTCATTATATTTGTTGAGTTTTTATTTCGATGTTAGTATAGAATAGCACAACGTATTTATTCATTTTTTTTAATAAATTTTGTTCAATTTTTATTTGTTTAGCATGAAATAAAAATAACAAAAGAAAAAGAGGAAAAAAATGAAATGATATAGAAATCAATAAAGACACAAAACCAACTAAAATCTATTATTTTTTTAACTTTAACTATGTTAATTAAAATAAAATATATGAATAAAAAAGTATGTTGGCGTTTTATATTATATAATTATTAATTTGTGTTTTTTCTAAAGTTGTTTTTTTCGAGGTTTTTTTTTGTCATCGTATTTAGATTTCGAAATGTACTTTGTGCTGTAAAAATTAAAGAAAGAAAAAACATCGTCGTTCTGTATTCCCAATTCACAATGATAGATGTTAAAACAATTAATACTAAAAATTTATTTATTTCATTTTATATAAAAATTGGAATAAAATGATGCGCTACACAATGGTCACGGGTATGGTTCATTGGATCTAAACGCCGAGTCTGAGCTGCATTTCGAGACAATTGTCTCACATTTACGTTCTCTAATCAGTATTAAAATATACCGACCCCTGCAAAAATATTAGTATATATTCGAAGGCTACTATATATATTTCTGGTCTAATACTACAATTGTATTTATAGTCAAAAATATAATGTTTTTCAAATTATTCTCCAGCATGGTTGTATAAATTTATCCATTCACTAAAAGCAATTGCCGAAGCCCTTTCTCCATTCCGTCAAAATTAACCATAAAAACTACAAAAATCGCTCGTGTACGGTAATAAAAAAAGAAGTCATCGGGTGCCATGTCTGGGCTGTAGGGCGGATGACCCATTAATTTCACATTTTGGCTACGGAAAACGGGATGCTGCACACTGATTCGACCTCTGTCGAATTCGTCTTCTATCGAATTTCAAAAAACGTAATGATAACATCGGGTCTGTTCCAGTACTTTTTTAATAGTAAATCTAGTAAAAGGGGAACATTTCAAAACACAACAGCCAATCAGAAGTAGGCATTCCTGTTTACCATTTTTACTCGGCCAAATTTCTCGAGTGGAAAGTTTACAAAGAGAAAGCCATTTTGTTTTGTGCTCTCTTAAATTTAATTCAATGTTTTACCATTTTTGTGGGTTGAGGACCGTTTTTTTGAGTAAAAAGTTGCAAAACATGTAAAATGAGTAGATTCCTTTAGGTTCTGGAACGGAACTGTTGGGTGCAATTATTTTGGTTCGACTAATTTTAATTTTCTTTTTTATTCCTCAAACAATAAATTTGAAAGTCAATGAAGACTTCGAATTCGCCCCCCGGTAGACATTCAAATTAAATTTTCATACTTATGAGTTAACAGAAGGAGACTACCTTCGAACTTGATCTAGACTTGGTAAATCGAACGTTTCATCTTACATTAAATTTATATAGATTGAAAAATTTGACCCCCTGTAGGGGAGGCACCGGAAGGAGTGCACCAATTAGTCCCATATTCGGACTTTATCTAGGCATAGTAAAGATAATAGGTTGTGCAAAGTTTGGTTAAAATCGGACATTCCACTCCCCAGACATTGGATTAATAAAAATTGAAAATTTTGACCATATGTGGGGTTGGTACCAGAAGGAGTGGACTTGATATAGGTTAGGCGAAGATAATATATTGTACAAAATTTGGTAAACAAAATTTTTTTAAACATAATTTTTTCCATAAATTTGACGATTTTATGGGGGAGATACAGGGTTGCCCATATTCGACGGACCCATCTGGCAACGCCATAACTTTTGACAGAGATGTCACATCGCTTAATGACATACCGCGTTTGAAGCGTCAGTCCAAGCAGATTTTTACCATGAACCAATACACGCCACTACGAGCGCTCTGAAATAATTGAAATTTACATTCAACAGAAGAAGTCAATTGTGAAAACTCAACGTGCTTTTAAAACATTACAAAATGTGAGAAGTGCGCCTTCTAAGAACACCATTAGGCGTTTCTACGAAAAATTTTCGACTGGTAAGGCTCTTTCTAATCCAAAGAGGCCATATAAAAGTCGACCAAGGCGATCGGCCGAGAATATCGCTGCCGTACGAGCCAGTGTTTAGAGGTCCCCAAGAACATCCCAAAAACGCCGTTCTCAGCAGTTGGGCATGGCTCGGTCCACTTTACAACGGATTATTCGCATTGATTTGCATTTGTTTCCGTACAAAATTCAATTGACACAAAGAATGTTGCCTGCGGACAAGCCTCGTCGATTGGAATGGGCCCAAAGAGTCATCGAAATGGCCGAAGATGACGAGCAATTTTGGAACAAAATTATCATGTCCGATGAAGCCCATTTCACATTGAATGGGACCGTAATAAGCAAAGATTCAAGAAGTGCCTCTTCATGACGAAAAAGTCACAGTTTGGTGCGGCGTTAGTGCGAAAACGGTCATTGGGCCGTTTTTCTTCCAAAATGAAAATGACCATGCTGTTACCATCAATCAGGAGCGTTATCGCGACATGATGACCAATTTTGTGACGCCAATTATTCGTCGGTTTCAACAAGACGGCGCTCCACCGCACCCAAGTCGCATAAGAATCGATTTCCTTAAGAATTTGTTTCCGGTCCGTTTGATGTTGAAAAGTGGTGATACGTCATCAACGCCAGAGGCGGCCATTTGAGAGATATCATATTCAAAAATTGATGTAAACAAATCTAATTAGAACAAATTAAATTATTAACATTGCCAACCGCCAAATTTTTATTTTTTTTTCTTTGATTAAAAAAAAACATGGGTTTGTCGAATATGGGCAACCCTGTACTATCTTTGAACTAGAACTATGTTTGGAAGAAATATTAAAAGTTTGGATGAAATCGGTTACTTCCTTCAAGAGATTACGTGCGCACCAGCCAAACAGACATTTGGACGTTTGTAAATCGACTTCAAATATTCTGAAACGGATTTCGTCCAAAAAACCAATATTTCGATGGGGCACTTTTTTGTCGTATCAAAATATATATACCCTCATTAGCCATAAGGCTGAGGGTATAAATGTACAAAGTTTGGACCAAATCTGGTACATTCCGCTTGATATTGGATTGACAAATTTTCAAAATGTCGATGCTGCGTGGGTGTCTACCAGAATCCGTGGACCTATGAATTCCATTTCGGACTTGTGTACATCAGAATGTGCATGTTTTTATCAAATGGGCCCTGTAGACCTCATCTACGGAGCTAAAGTACTACAATGCGTAGTTAAATGATCAATTCAGATTCTCAGTGGGCTTCATATGAAATTTCAAAGTATTTTTGTTTGTTTTTACATTTTGATCCTTTATGGGGGAGTAGTGGATCGATGGGTTCCATCTTCGTACTTTATTTAAGTTTGGCAAACATTTTATAAATGTTGCATCAAATTTTTATCACATCTTCAATCATGGTGAACAAATGAGCACGTTTTTGCAAAAAAAAAAAAAAATAAATAAATAAAAATAATAAAATGTGCAATGACAATATCAGATGTTGCCCGGAAACACTTGTCCCGACCAGAAATATATGTATATAGTAGCCTTCGTAGACGTGTTCTGTCAAAACATGAACTTGTATTTCAAATGGCAAAACTTTGGATTGCAAAATGCTACTGAACTACCGAAATACGTACCTATCTGAATGGGGAGTATTTATATTAGAGGGCTATACTATAACATAGAATTTTTTTGTATGTTCAAACCTACAAAGCTCAATCCTGCGATCTATTCTTGATGATGTTATCAAGGATATATGTATATACCATATGGGGTCTCCGATGAATATTAAAGGGTTAGCAAATGGAATGATAATTTAGATTTTTATTTGATTTTTAGAGTTTTGTGTTGTTGCTATTGAAACGCAGACAACCAACAATAATATCAGTTCTGTTGCACCCTAAGCGCGATAACGCCAATCACTTTAATTTAATAACAATGACCGATTTACTCTCTAACTGGCACATTAACCTGTTAAGATTAAAATATCACCGTCAATTTTCATGACAAATGTATGCATCTTTGTTTTTGGGGTTGCAGTTAATGATGCCTCTCATTGTCATGACGGTATGACAAATCAAAAGAAAAGAAAAATTAAAAAAGGGGATAATTTATCACCACAAAATGCTGGCGAAAAAATTTAATAAAATCCCTACAAAGCGAAAACTAAACGAAAGCAATAAATACAACAACAACAACATACTCTAATGATTGCCAGTGTATTGTTTATGTCGAATAACATACCTTTTGTTTTTTTAATTTCTGCTCATCCTCCATCTGTTGGGTCTCCTCTGAAATGGTCCCGGACCTGTAGGTGGAAGTCACTTCCTTTTGGTTAATTGGATTCTTGTCAATTGTATCACGCGCTTCATTAGTGTCATTCGCAATTTGTTCGTTGGCTTTATTATCCTGCTCCTGCTGTTGACTGAGGGCACTGATGTTGCTACCATCATCCACTTTCTCGTCTGATTCATGACATTTATCTGCTACGATGTCATTGGCCGTAATATCCGTATTTTTACCATCTGGACAGAGTGGGAAAGGCGAAAGCGATAAACGCCGTTGGGGAAGAAACCAAAGGAAGGTCGAAGAAAAACAAACGAAAAAACGTTGAAGAAAAATAGACATTAGTTCAATTGCGGTAGGGGACGACGACAAAGTGCACAAAAATGATTTAATTCAGGGGAAATATAAAGAAGTAAAAAAACGACATTCATATTTATTTGATGTAATTCTCGCTAAAAGACATTATTAAAGGTAGATGTTACACTTATAAATCTAAAAAGATAGTCCATGCCAAAAAGATAGTCCATGCCGTACCTGGACGTAATACAGAATCCTATTGGCGGATTCGGAATATTCAACTTTTTTCCGATTTCTATAATTTGTCATGTGGAGAAATAGAGATCTCATACTTCCATTAGAGTGCTGTTAGACCCCTGAGCTGGACATATGGTCACTTTGGACTAATTCACTACTACGTACCCGAGCGCACACAAGCGATTTTGGAGATGACCTTCAATAGTGCCGATGGTTCTACGAACAACGTAGAGCTTTACATTTTTGCACAGAGCTTTACATGCACATTTTTGTTATGGGATATACAGGTCCTAAATTTGTCCTGGACGTCATATAATGCCAAACAACCATAACCGTTATTTTGAAAGTTCTATCCGCTTTTCAACAGGGAAAAACATTTTTGGAAAATATCTTCAATATAAGTTCATATTTTCACATATAAAAGTCCTCCTCAAATGTAGCTATTTTCATGGAAAACTGAGCCTGTATTTTTCCAATTGAATTTTTCTTGCTTTCAGAAAAGTTTTAGTGTAGGCCTTATTGATGGATAAAAACAATTTTGAAAATGTGTTTAATATAAGCCCTTCTACTGACACGAAAGAGTCGCCTAAATTTAAGTCCCTATGTCTTACGGATTTTCCAACCGAAGTGATAGTAATTTGACATTAAGGGATTTTGGAGGTAAAAACTACTACACAACTTTTGTGCAATATAAATCTACCTCATGTAAAACAAACCGGATTTTAGGACTGTAATGACTGCATTCCGTGTTATTGGTGGGTCAATATTTTGACATATCTCGCATATAAATTCCCCTAACCATTTCCTTCTTCGAAAAAATGTATACTATATACATACATATAATTTGACATCGATGTTGAATTTCACTTCAAAGATCTAAACAAAATTTTCCAATATCTAATACGGCACGGAATTGCTCACAATAATTACCTGCATTGTCGGATTGTTGTTCGTCGTTCCTTTCCAAGCTTATTTCACGTGCCTCAGGAGATTTTTGTTTTTCCTGTTGTAATTTAAATGTTGGCAATAAATCTGCCAATTGACGTGTAACGGTATCCAGTGTCGATTGTATGGTACTAGGAAGATTAGATAGAGCAGCTAATTGCCTTTGAACATCAGCCAACTGACGTTCCAATTCTAATTCTTCTTCAGTTTTTTCCACATCAGCCGCCATGGTTACTTCGTCTACATTTTTTTGCTCTTGAACATTAGTATCCTCTTGAGGACATTCCATTTCTTTAGTTTCAGGAGTGGTTTCTTTTTCCTTGTCGGATTTTTCAATTTCCTCCTCCTCTGCATCCTCTGTCTTTTGGTAATTTTGTGTATTTTTTAATGTTTCGGAATCAGTGACTTCTTCCAAATTGGGGACTTCCGTATCAACCGGAGTTGGAGCTTCAGGCTCTGGTTCGGGTTCAGGTTCTGGTTCAGGTTCAACAACTGGTGGTGGCGGTGTTGGTTCCTTTACAGGTTCTGGTTTAACCTGTAATATAAAAAAATGGTTAGAAAATTCAAAACTGTATGTATTTCCCATCCTTTTTACCTCTGGTATTGGGGTCACCGAACGCGATGACCTTGGTGCAGATTTTACAATTTTCACCTTATAGGCGTTGGCAGCACGCCTTTCTGCTTCCAATTGTAATTTACTTTTTGGTATGGGACGGTTAGGTTTTTGCAAAAACGTGGTCCATCTGCGGTTCTCTTTCTCCTTTTCTAATTTGGTTTTTGAAGCCTCCTCGCTAAGGGTACGCAAAACTTGACTGCTCATACAGACACCGGGTTTCGGATAAAGCCTATAAATATTACTACTATTTTTTTAAATTCAGAATATCATAACAACAATACATTATAAAAAGGAAATATGTTCGGCCAGACCGAATTTTTTATACCCTCTGCCAGTGGAAAATATGTTAATTCAAACTTAACGGAACCGAATTTTCAAAGGTATTTGGAATGCACACACAAAATTTTAAATCAGTCGGGGCTATTCTATGAAATTGTCTGGGTTAGAAACTTGAACATAACGAGAATTATTCAACAGGAATCCGAAAAGACAAATTGTAGAAAATAATGCGACTTAAACTTTCAAAATTCCACAAGGAACCATATGTAATACAAAGGACATGCGAAATACAGACACTTCTGTGGGAATATGCGGACAAATTTTCGAAATACCAAAAATAAGACGGACCTAAATCCTGGCAGAATTTTTTTCAATCTTCAATAACCCCGAATGTCAAATTACAAACCTACAACATAAAAAATTTTAATTTGTACCGTTATAAGATTGCTGTACAAAACCTTGGTCTTCCACGAATATCATGGCGGATGTATAAAAACGCGACGATTAAACTCCATTCTACACCCTAAACATAACACCGAATCGGAACCTCATGAAAAATATTACTACAGAATATTCAAGACCCCTTCTAACGCTTTTTTTTCTTATCTTATGGGGGAGGATATATAAAGCGATTGATTTCGTTACAAACCCTGGATGATTCAGCTCATTGGCTACAATATCAGTGGCATCTGATAGAACAGCAGCTATTTCATCTTCTACCAATTTACGTTCACTTTCCTCGGATAGCACAGAATTGGGTCTATCCTCTGGATTTTCGACATATTCATCGTTTCCATTATCCCCATTCTGATTGGCATCATTCTGCTGCTGCTGTTCGTTATTTTCCGCAGTTTCATTCGTTTCGTCAGGTTCCAAGTAGGGAGAAAATGGTATCGGCGATTGTGATGGTCGAAATTCCAGTGGATCTTGCAAAAAAACTGTCGATGGACGATATTCCAATGTTTGGCGTGTAAATGGCGATGTTGATCGTCGATTAGCCAATGTTTGATCGCCATTGACCGTGGGTAGCAAAGATGTTGAATCCCAATTGGGCTCAGTGCGAATTTCTGGTATTGGCGATGGAGATCTTGCTTTTGTCAATGCTTCAGGCGTCTGTTCCGTCATTAGATATGGTCCTGGAGATTTCGCTTCTAAACATGGTTCAGTTCCCAGGGGTGGTATGGGCGAAGGTGATCTAACTGCTGGCATATTGACCTTTGTTTGTACTGCCACCACAGCAACAAAATTCGTTGGTGTCATGGGCGATGGTGATCTTCCCCTGGCAAAAGTTTCCGTATAGTTGTCAATAGAAAGATGTGGTACCGGAGATTTAGCCTCTAAGCAGGGTTCTGTGCCAAGTGGTGGTATCGGAGAGGGAGGTCTCTCAACTGGCAAACTTTCTTCTGCCTTCGGTTTTGGTGACACAGCCTTCGGTTGTGGCGACACTGCACTTATAAAACTTGTTGGCAACCGAGGTTGTTCCGTGACCTCCATAAAACTTGTTGGAGTTGTTGGTATGGTTCTATTAGTAGTTGGAAAGTAATTCGGCTTTACATGCTGCTCCTCGTTTTCCCTAAAAAATGCAAAAAAAAACGTAACTATGAACATAATCCAATGTAATTTATTTTTCTATGGTTTGCCTTGCCTTTTTATTCCAAGGAAAAATACATTGCCGCATTTTGTTATAACTTTGTGAGATTCTTCGTGAGTTAATGGAGATGTCGGAGTATCATTAATGCGCACAATTACATCACCGACTTTAAGTCCCGCTTCCTGAGCAATGCTGCCCTCAGTAACCTGAGATAATTTACATTTATAATAAGAGTGAATGTAAATGTAATTAAATGAAAGAAGAATTTAACAGCACATATAAACACAGACATGTTTCTATAAAATATAAATATACAAATATACAGAAACCATAAAAAATGCAAAGAAGAGATAAAATTGTTACAAATACATTTTTTTCTTGCTGTGGTCAAATATGGGGTATAACAAAATGGCGAAAAGCAGGAGATTTTTTCTAATAAATTATTTTCTGGTTAGCACTTTTATGAACTTCTAGTGCAAAGAGCGAGAGAACGACATTTAAGAATATTTTTCTTATGTATAAAAGTTTATATATGGGAGCTTGATTTATCAGTTTTTCATTGTGTGTCAAATCATTTTACCAAAAATTATTATTTTTCTGGAATTTGTAGACTTTAGCCGCATTTTCCAACCGATGTGGCTGTAATTTTGTATAAAAGATTCTTGAAGATTCTTTAGTATGCTGACTTTAGGCGTATATATTAGAAATTTGTCAAATTTGTATTGAGGCAAAATACTTATTACACTCACTGTATATATAAAAAATGATAAATATAGATCAATGTTTTGACATAGCACCCCTTTTGTCAGTATTTTGAGGCTTCTTTTGTCAGTATTTTGAGGCTTTTTAGACTTCAGCATTATTTTCTCACCGAATTTTAGATAACATAACCTCGACATAAAGTTCCCAAGATTTAAATGGTCTTCGGTGACATAAACTGTGCCGACCCATTCTCGATGTAACTATATTTTTAACCAAATTGTTCATCCTGGTTAATATTTATTGCTCGGTATGTTGAAGGCCCACTCTAGTTTTCTAATCTAACCTTTTGTTATTTTTAGCATTATGTTTTGTTTTAGAGTATGAACCACCTACTTTCGAATAATGTAAGAGCATAGTCCCATATAATATTCCTGACCGATTTGGGGAATTTTGAATGCACACCAAGTATTGGAGTGTATAACAAGTTAAAACGATATTTATATTTGTTTGGCTGTGAGATTTGACTGTCAATGAGAACCCAAAATACCAAATTACAGCCAATTTAATTGAAATCTATGAAACATTTCATGTCCAATATCTAAAATTTTTAGGTTTTCGATGTCAAAAAGGTGTAAACGCTTCATATACCTGTATAAAAAGTAATAAACGTATGTCATTTATATCAATATTAGATACACAGTTATTTTCAAGCACATTCCTTACTGATACTGATAACAATTTTTAAATTTTTTCAGAAGAAAATTTTGAAATTTTATATGGATTTGGCTAAAGCATACGTAATTTCCAAATTGATTAATGGAAATAGCTATTTTGTCGAAAACCTAATGGATTTGGGTAGCCAATTTAATTGAAAATGTATGTCATTTACGTCACTGTTTCTGACAGGTCATCTCTGTTCATGTCAATCGGGGAGACTTGAATTTTTTGTAAAATGTGTGTATGTAATGTAAATCTGAACCTAATTGAACAACCGTGGCATACACCGTTTGGTATGCTGCAGCATAGTGCGCTATCCGCAATTTTATCTCGTGTATATAGAACACGAGAGATAGGCTCCTCAGTGAACCATTTATATGAGAGATATATCCAAAATTAAACCGATTTTGCCAATATCGTGTAAATCGGACGAAAATATATATGGGAGCTGTATATAAAATCGGATGAAAATATATATAGGAGCTATATATAAATCTGCACCGATTTTCTCCAATTTCAATAATTTAGTACACTGAGCAAAATGTTGCAGCAATGAGAAAAATATTGGGAGTTTGGTGCACCAATTATGTAAAATCGGACGAAGCTATATGGGAGCTATATGTAAATCTGAAACGATTTTCTCCAATTTTAATGTGGTTCGTCCTTCGGACAAATAAGTGAGCTGTGCCAAGTTTTATATAAATCGGATCATAAATGCGATCTGTACTTTGTTCACAGGAATACATGGACAGACGGACATGCAAAAATCAACCCAGAAAGTGATTCTATACATATTCTCAAAAGGAACCATGTGTCTATCTCGTTTCCTTTTGCCTGTTACAAACATATGCACAGAGACATAATACCCTGTTCCACTGTATAGTGAAAGCTTGGTTGGAAAACGTGTCCAAATCCCCAAAATCCTAAATGCTGGTGGGTACCGTTATATGGGGACTGTATGGGGTATATCCTGAAACTTCGATCAATATTAATATGCATAGCCAATTCTGTTATTGATTTTCGTCTTCGTTATTGATTTTCGACACTTATTGCAAGTCCAAAATCAATAACGACGACCGTTGTGTGCATTTATTAAACCAGTACATACACTTGTCGTGATAATTTACTGCGAAATTATGAAAATGTTCACGAGTTAAATCCTTTTATACCCTTCACCACTCAGTGGTACAGGGTATTATGTCTTTATGCATATGTTTGTAACAGGCAAAAGGAAACGAGATAGACACATGGTTACTTTTGAGAATGGTTACTTTTGAGATTTATGCATGTCCGTCCGTCCGTCTGTCTGTCGATGTAAATTGTAAACAAAGTACAGGTCGCATTTATAATCCGAATTGGATGAAATTTGGCATAGGTCACTTATTTGGCCCAAGCCTATTGAAACTGGGAAAAATCGGTTTAGATTTGGATATAGCTCCCATATATATTTTCGTCCGATTTAATGTAAACGGTCCCTATATATCTTTCGATTTGCACGAAATTTGGCGCAGCTTAATGTATTAGGTCTAGAATGATGTGTGCAAAGTTTCGTGAAAATCGGTTCAGATTTGGATTAGCTCCCATATATATTTTCGTCCGATTTAAGGTAAATGGTGTACCAAAGTCCCTATATATCTTTCGATTTGTACGAAATTTGGCATAGCGTAATGAATTAGGTCTAGAATGATGTGTGTCAAGTTTCCTGAAAATCGGTTCAGGTTTGGATATAGCTCCCATATATATTTTCGTCCGATTTAAGGTAAATGGTGTACCAAAGTCCCTACATATACTTCGATTTGCACGAAATTTGGCATAGCGTACTGAATTAAGTCTAGAACGATGTGTGTTAAATTTTGTAAAAATCGGCTCAGATTTAGATATAGCTCCCATATATATTTTCGTCCAATTTTAGGTAAATAGTGCACCAAAGTCCCTTTATATGCTTCGATTTGCACAAAATTTGGCTTAGCGTACTAAAATGAGTCTAAAATTATGAGTTGTGAGTTTCGGGAAAATCGGTCTAGATTTTAATATAGCTCCCATATATACGTTCGTCAGATGTTATGTAAATGGTGCACCAACGTCCCTATATATCAATTTGCACGAAATTTGGCACAGCGTACTGAATTAAGTCTAAAGCGATGTGTATAAAATTTCGTGGATATCGGTTCAGATTTATATATAGCTCCCACATATAGATCATATTTTTAACAACGCGGCGTACCGAATAGCGTGTATCAATTTTACTATAAATCGTTTACCATAAATTTTCCCCATGTGTCGCAAGCGGCTCTAAATCTGCTCGAATGAAATTAAAGTTAGGATAGGTTGGAGAAAGAGGGAACATAGACATGCAATTGTTAGGATACATATGTACAATATACCCAAAGTGGTGAAGGGTATCATATAGCGGCGCAGTCCGACTTTACTACTTTCCTTACTGTTTTTTTTTTTTTTTTTTTGACAAATTGATTTCTCAAGTCAGTGCTAACAACACAACACATGGTCGTACGCCAAACCTCAATTAAGACTTTTATGCTAAAGAAATTCAAACTTTCCAATGAAAATTTTTTGTGGCCTAAGCGTTTGTAATGTCAAGAAATATGAGTCCTAAACCCACCGGTCGACTAGATGTTATTTAAGTATATTTATAAAACTGTCCAACTGTTCATTCGTCACGAAATTTTGCATATAGATTCGTTTTTTGTCAAATATTGGTTTATATTTGGGAGGATTTTCTAGTTGCTCTAGGGACCACAATTAAGACCTTCACGATATAGCATGGTTAACGAATAAACATGGCTAATAGAATTATGACGTATCAATATTTAGCGGAGGTGCAATTCGGTTTCAAATACGCACTATTGGACAGGTGTAGCGCCATTTAAATATTATCGGTTATCTGTGATATTGTCTTGTCTACTTCTGCACGATACGTACAAATTCGCAAAAAACTAATTCTCAGGGTGATAAGGGTTTTACATACGTACTTGTAGTATGAATAGCATAATAAATAACATAATAAAATAACATAAAAGACTGCGAAATAAAATCACTGCTGTTGAAAGGTCAGTTGCCCGCCCGCCTTCACATTATCATATTCATGAATTGCCTTAAGATTGAAATCTTTTCTCTAAGTTTCGTTTTATTTTCTTTTTCTTCTTGGAATTTACTTCGCCATATCTGCCTTGGTTAGTTAGTGTGGCCAACACAAGAGTAATGGACAACAGAAAACATTTGCCATGTAAATTCAAAACAATCAAAAAACACTTTTCGTCAGTCAGAGGGGAAGAATGAGATGTTCTAGCGTTTTTTGTTGTATTTTGTTTTTTTTTCTTAATTTTATTGTGGTCGATCAAAACATGACCCGCTAGCTCTGTTCGGCGATTGTCTTCTGATTTCATTTGTGTTTATCTTGTGGCGTAAGCGTTTAAATGACAATTAAATGCAACGCGTGCTAAATTGCTATGAATACATTTTGCGGGATGATAAAAATACCGAAACGTTTTTTATTGCTGTTTTTTTGTTGTTGCTGTTGTTTGTACGTGTTGTCATGCTACAATACGCTGTGTGACAATTGGTGCACACTGTTCTGATTTTTACCTTACCTTCAGCAATGTGATAATGTGCTTAAATCTACCGGTCAATATTTGAGGCTATAGTTCGTATAAAAAACAAAAATAATTAAGAATTTGTTGACTCTTTCAAATGATTCAATGTTAAAAAAAAATCAATAAAAATTATAAAAATAAATGTTTTTATAAATCGTATTCTCTCTAGATCCCGCAATTATGGCACGAACATTACGCAGCTTAACGCAGGGGAAGGGAATATGACCAAAAAATAGGCCCTTTATACGAAATAAGAGGCACATCGGTTGCCTAAGCTACCCAAAATACAGAATAATGGGGAACCATAATATAGGGACTGCCCTGAAACTTGGGTCCATATTAATAATTTTTGGTACAGATATGTATTATTCTAAAATGGAGGCTACATCAAAACGTGGATCGATATATGCCATTTGCAATACCAAACATCCTAGGAGTACTAGCAATGTATGTGTAAATTTCCAGAGCTCTATCTTAAATATTGCGATCTATATTGTGATTTCAACAGACGGACATGAGTAAATCGATATCAACCTAGAATTTTATTCCGAGCCGTGTTGCAAAGAGAATGACAAATTTAATATATACTCCACCATATGGTATAGGGAATCAAAATATCGGACGAATGTGTTAAAATTTGCAGATAGAACCATATGAGCTTTTCTCGTGATAATCTCATCCCCACATTAATGGGGTTGTTTTTCTGTAGCTGGAGCTGGATATCTCCACTTTATGTATAGCAAGTGCATTCAAAATGGGGATCTCGCGGGACTTTATCTTTCAACAGGATAATGATCGCAAACATACTGCGCTAGATTTCAGTCTTTGGATCCTGAACAACTGTCCAACAAAATATTATTTGGAGCCGTCTGTCTGGTGGGCTAGTAAGTAACCGATTTTAGCCAAACTAAGCACATCACAATATTTGTTCCAAATATAGCCTAACTTCGAATATGGGGAATATAGAGTAACTTCGGGTAATGTGGACCACCATTTTCTTTTTTTGATATTGTGGGCGTAACAACGGTAAAAAATAAAAACAAATTGTTTTCACAGCATGGTAGATTTGTTGGCTAATTATATTCCAGGTCAAAAATTATATATATTTGTCCATAAAAATGTTATTGCATTATATTTCAAAAAACTCTAAACTGCAAATAAAAATAACTTGGCGGGTAATGTGGACCAGTATGTGTGGGTAATGAGGATCAGTAAGTTAAAGGTAGGTTGTGGATTAATTGTGATAAATTTTAATTTATTGCACTCTTGGGTAACAATGAATGCAAAAATATATGGGTCCATGTTTTGGAATTGCCCCCATTTAAGGGTACCACCCCATTACCCGACATTGAATATTTTTATTTAAAAATAATTATCGGCTTCAAAAATGAATAAAAATTTAAAAGTAACCGAAAGTAATTACAGATAAACGTGTAGTTTTGTTAAAGAAAACAAGAAAACCACAGTACCTCTTTATATTCGAGAAAAACAAAATGTTCGACTATTTTACAAAATCGTTCGACTATCGTGCTAAAAAATTTTCAAATCACACTTTTACAATCAGATAGCTACATTTTCACCTACTAAATTTTTAACATTGCAATTATTTATTAAAAACCAAGTTTGATGTTTGTTTTCACTAATTAGGAAAACATTTATCAAGGCGGCATTGACATATTTCAAGCATTTTTTTAGATATGGGGGGTGGTCCACATTTGAAGCATGGTCCACATTACCAGAAGTTACTCTAAATTATTTTAATATCCTTCACTACACTGTGGTACAGGGTATTATGTTATTGTGCATATCGACGCCTCCGAACCATAGTATGCTAAGTCGACTTAGCATGTTTTAAAGTTCTTTACGTTTTTAAATACTACGGTCCTTAATTTAAATTCACTGAAATTTTCGTAATCATCGGTCAATCCAAACCAAAGTTATTACCAAAAATGTACTTAGCATAGCACGTAAGGTATAAGAAACTTCCATACTTTGAGAGCTTCTACTGAAAAACTCACTTTTCAGACTTAGCATACTATTCTTCGGATGCGTCGATATGTTTGTAACAGGCAAAATAATAGAGCTAGACCCATGGTTTCTTTTGAGAATTGGCATAGAATCACTTTCTGAATCGATTTATGCATGTCCGTTTGACCGTCTGTCTGTCCGATTTAGATATAGCTCCCATATATAGTTTAATCCCATTTTATGTAAATGGAGCACCATGAAGTCAATGTTTTCTGATTAAGACAACATTTTGCATACCGCATTGAACTTATTACAGGTTGGTATATTTACTTCACGCAGTTAATTTCGCCCGATTCCATTTCAATGGTCATCCAAAGATGCTATGTCTATTCTATCTAAAAGATATTTTACATGTGAGCATCTCTTGTATGTACCCAAAGTGGTGAAGGATACCATATAGTCGGCCACAGTGATCCGACTTTTGATCTTTCCTTACTGGTTATAATATAATTACATGTATACATACGTTTGTTGTTATTCCCTTAAAAATAATAAATCTCTATGAAATAAAAAATCTGTTTATAGAATTGAATACTTTCTAAATTCCTTTTTTTTTGTGCGGATGTGAATTCAAATTTTGCATACAAATTATACCGAACAGTAAATATTGTTGCCTTCAGCATGCTATGTAAACAATCTGAACCATCTGAATCATTGGTGATTCATTTCCATGAAATCAGAGCCCTATTGAAATTTGAACCGATTCACAACATTTACAATAGCGCTCGGTATTGGGTAAACCCATAAATTTGAACTGGCCGTTATTAGTTTTTCACTCACATTATAATATAGCACGGTGTGGTGCATTGGCATATGTACATTATTTCATTTTAATTTGTAACTATCGCTATTGGTTTTCTTATTACAAATTAAATTTAATTTTAAATGTCTATTTGATATCTCGTATGAGAATGAGACAAAAAATGTCCAAAAATCTCTCTATTTATTATTTTACTTTTAGTTTCCATTTTCTCTAAAAGTGTTTTTGTGATGGGATTTTTTGCTATCATTTCATTTTGTGAGGTTATAAATTATATTAAAGAGAGAAAAACAACTACGGGAACAAAAAAAAACTACAAAAACAAAAACGACACCAAAAGACCATTGCCATTAACTCTTTGCCTAATGGAAAGAATAACGGAAATTATATTTCCGCATTCTATTAAAACTGTATTGAGTAAATATCATTTCACAGGGTTAACCAGGAAATGCAATATGAATATACACACATTTTATTTTATTTTATTTGCTGTATTTGTTTATTTCGAAAAAAAAGTTCACTTCAAACCATCTCTCAATTACGTAACATTGAAAATGCATTAGATGCATTTGCGATCGATCAATATTTTCACAGCATCTATCCAGAGACACATTTCCACAATTTTAACAAACATAACACGCAAGGTGGGTATAGCAAGGTGTGGATGTTTGGCTGTCTGTCTGTGGTTGTGTGTTTGTAATATGGATGCCACTCAATTGTGCTTCACGGTTATTTGGATGAATTTCATATAAATTGATTAATGCAGTTGTAGAGAGGGTGGTGGTGGTAGTTGTTTGCATGTGTGCGTGCGTGTGTTTTGCTATTGCTGCTGGTGCTAAGTGTATATGTGTACAGATTCTAACCTTCACCACCGTTAATGGATATTCAAAATCCGCACCGCCGACAAGTGTAAAACCCCAGGGTACATTTTCGAAACGGCACATTTTAATATCAATCACCATTTTGATGAATTGATTCAAAACTATTCACTGTAAATATTTTGCAAAAGGTGAACGAGATTATTTTCACTTTGTTGATACGTGAGTGTGTGTGTGTGGGTATGTGTGAGACGTGTACGTGTATTTGTAAGTAGGAAAGTAAGGGCGTTCGTGTGTGTTTTCAAAAAGCCGATCTATAGCTGTTCGAGTAGGAGTAGATTTTGTAATTTATTTTTTAATTAGCAAAGGCACCGACCGACCGACCGTCCAACAAACGTATTGACCGCAATCAATGAGAAACTCGTACTAAAACCTCCGACGTAATCAAACCGACTAAAACAAAGTAAATGACAGATTGATATTGGACGATTGCTATTGTCGAATTTTTGTGTATATCGATGTGAGTTGTTGTTTGCAGAATTTTCTTTGAATCGCTATCGATTAGTGTTTTTTGTTGTGTGTTTTGTCAGTTTTATTTTGGCATTTTCCAACCACTGACCACCGACCACAAAATCGAGCAAACATCAATGACCAGAAAACAATTGTATTTCAAAAAAATTTCATTTGTTACAATCAAAAACACTATTCGCATCATTAGATTAATAAATATTTTTGTTTTTCCCTAAACATATTCAGACCATCAATTTAAATGTTGTGTAATTTTATATTTGGGATTAATTGTGGTAGCCTCTCGATCCAATTGTATTTTATTACATTAATATTGGCACTTTCACAATAATTAGTATATTTAATGATGTTGAATATGCTTATGGGCATTTTTGTAATTGATTTGTTAAATTGAACAAACAGAAAAAAACATAAACTCTACAATTAAAAAAACAAGTGAAAAAGCGTTTGATACCCTTCACCATAGATATACTGACAGGTCCTTGAAATGAAAATATAGAGAAAATACCAAAAAGTGGACTCATACCGATTTTTCTACAAATCGATTATGTAAACCATGATACAAATTTCAGAAATTTTTAATGGATAATTATACCCTCAGACTTATGGCTAATGAGGGTGTATACACTTTGACATGGTGAAAATGAGCCATCTTATTATTTCTTTCAAACGTAGTTCACGTCGGAAGATGGGGAATATCGGTCCACTCCATTTGGTACCTCTCATAGAGAGCTAGGTCTAAATGCGGGTTATAGTTCATATATAGTTAATTATCGAACTTTACGTTCTAGTTTTTTATCTCGATATCCTCCGCAGGTGAAACGATTGCAACAGTCTTAGAACCAAACCCAAGACGCGGAAAAAACTATATAACTATTTTAATATAAAAAAGGGGGTTATATGGGGACTAACCCAAAAAGGGGCGAATATTAATATTTTTGGTAGAAGACTTGTTACCATATACGACTACAAAATACCAAATTGCAGCAAAATCGGTTGAAAAACGCGCTCAAGAACCCCAAAATACCGAAAATTGGGGCTACCCTTATATGGGGGCTATCCGAAAAATTTTTTTGAGGAGAGATTTGGTACCTATTAAGAACTCAAAATACTAAATTACAGCTAAATCGGCGGAAAAATACGATCAAAACCCCCAAACTACTGAACATAAGGAGGTACCTAACAAAAAAGTGGACATATATTAATAATTTTTGTGGATACATTTGGAACCCAAAAAGAACCCAATGTATTTCAGCGAATTCGGTTGAAAAACGCGCTCAAGAACCCCAGAATACCGAAAATTGGGTAGTACCCTTATATGGGAGCTATGCCTAAACGTAGAATGATAAATCCCATCTTCGAACTTGGCCTGCCTGCAGACAAAAGACGACTCTATGCTAAATTTTGGCGATCTATTTCAATTCGTTTAGACGCTAGAGTGATTACAACAGACAGACAGACGGACATGGCTATATCGTCATAGAATTTTACGCTGATCAAGAATATATATACTTTATAGCGTCGGAAATGATTATTCCGATGAGTTACAAACGGAAAAACAAAATTAATATACCCTCCATACTATGGTGGAGGGTATAAAAACAACAAGTTAAATATGAGGGGAACATTTTGTAGGTCTCGATATCATCCGATGGTAGAATTACTACAGCAGATGACAGAATCAGCGAAATTGTCTTAGAATACCATACTTTAGAGTACAGCATTTCCCCCTACTATGGTGGAATACGACTATATGGGAATAAACAAAAAACGCGGACCAAATCATATAACTATTTTAAAATAAATCAGTAAGAAAAGTAATATCGTCGGTCGGCCGATACCCTTCACCACTAACCTGGACCGGTATAGCCCATCATCGAATTTGACCTGCCTGCAGTCAAAAGACAATTCCATGCAAAATTTTGGCCATATATCTTAATTCGTTCAGAAGCAGATCGATTTTATAAATGGAAAATAAAATGAATAAACCCTGTATAGGAAAGAAACACTAAGTCCTACCAGTTACTTAAAATTAAAGATCCAACTACACAGAGAATTATACTGCAGCCAATAAGTTTGGGAGCAAATGTTGGGAAGAGTGGCTAAAATATCCGATGTTTGGCCTGACCGAACTATTTATACCATCCAACATGATAATAACAATCAATATGTCTGAGAATATCTGTTTGGCCCGGCCGAACTTTTTATACCCTCCACCATGAGAATGACACTCAAAATATCGTGAGATGAATAATATTGAGATTCTCACAATATTTAAAGCATGGGGTCAGCGAAGCAGTCAGGAGTGGTGGACAACCGTAATTTGGTTGTAGTTCAATTCATGTGCAGTTCTTACGATTTTGGAAATTGTATTATTCAGAATTAAAAGCTCACTTTTGGTATAATATATCCTCATATTAGGATACCACCTTTTTTAGTTATTATCTAGGAAACAGCTAAAAATTGAATGCGTAACCAAAGTGTGTAAGTAAGGGTATCATAATATATAGTCAGCTCCATTCAAGTTTTGCTCTTTTATTTTTTTTTTAGTTGAAAGTGAGGTTTTCATTATCCATTACAAATGGATTACAATAGGGTATTTTATTAACTTCTGCCTTCACAATGAGGACACAATCTCTAATTCCTTGTTTTTTTTCGTTAGAAATTCGTATCACATGTGTTGTTGGTGTTGATGGTGGTGTGGTTGACAGTCTATGTGGTGAAAAGTAAATTTGCGACAAAACTTTTCTATATTCAATTGTTGGAAATGAAAGGGGTGTAATTAATGCAGTCATAAAACGTAGCATTTTTGGGAACAAAGTTCAACCACATAATACACAACCATGCGCACATACACTCACACATTTCTGTACACATGAATGTATAATTTGGGGTTTCACATTTGTGCTGTGCTACAAAAGGTTACTAATTACCACTTTGGTTGAGGAGGCCAAATAAATGTTGATTCTTACATCAGGGATTGAAGTGATGTGATGTGTCATAGGGTAGGTCGTTATGTTGAGATTTATAATATCGAACATTTTCATTTACTGTCGATTCGTAGAATATTTGGCAACCTTTGCAACTGACATACTTTGTTATTTCGTAATATCCCAATACAACTTCATAAATACACAATCACACACACACATAGATTAGTTGAATAAATCCGACATGTTAAAACCTCAGCCATCTTTCAATAAACACAAGCTTCATTTGCTGAGGATATAAAGGCTTATATAAATTGTTAATTGTTCTAGGCTTTAAATGTGCTTTTAATTTTGCAGAGAAATTAAACCTAATTATATAAACTTTATATAATTGTTTATTTTATTCGGATTGTAGAGATTGTGAGTTACCGAAAAAAGGGATAGCTCATCCCTTTAAATATTATGTTATATCATATGCAGATTATAGTTCATTGTTTATATGTAAAATTATAAAAACTGTTTGACAAGTAAATCTGTGTAAAGAATATACACAAATTAATGTTATTACTCATAATTATTTTGAAATAAATTGTTGATCATCGTTAAGCTACAGGCATATCCATAAAATGTTTTCTTCATGATATGTCGTTTTTATACCCTTCACCATAAGGAGGAGCAGGGACGTACGCATCATCGTTAATCGAAATGAAATTTTTTCACAGTAAATTTATGTTTGCAACAGCGAATTTTTTCATTTTGTACTACCGGCCATCGGCCCGGTCGCGAATCTGCGTAATTTGATATGTATTTTGTGTATGTAGTATGCACAGCTTCATAGTAATAATCATCCGATAGTGAAAATTTTATGCGATCAAATTTCTAAAAAACCTATTTTTCGGGCCAAATTTTTAGATCTGTCAACTGAATGATATGGGTACCCGCGATCAATAAGGTTTTTTTACGTTTCAGATGATATAAAATCTTCTTCGTGAAAATCCATCTACTAGAACGGCGGGAACTGGCCTTCCAAAAACACGAAGTTGAGCAAAAAATGTTTTTGAAAATATCACAGATTTATTTGCGTTTTCTGTGGATCATTTCCGCTTCAATAAATGGCCTCATACGGATTTTGATCTTTTTCGAAAAGAGAACTTTAACAAATTCAGCCGAAAGAGAGATGTACCCAATTTATCTCAAAAATAGTGTGATGGTTCTTAATGGACCACATTGAAATCGGTATAGATCGATGTATTTTTTTAGGGTGCACACCGAAATCGGATGCGCGTTAATGGCATATGGAGTTTTCGGAAATTATTCGCGTTTTACGATTTTTTGTGGCACATCTTAGCCGTCAAATGAAATTTTGCAAAATATATATGGTTTGGAAGATAAACTTCATGCGCATCAAATGATTTTGAGAATTACGCGATTTAGACGCAATTTAAAATGTATATTTCATAATATTATTTTATTTTAAAATTTATACCTATTTGTAGAACCCCAAGATTTATCGTAAGGGTCTTGATATAATCCGCAAGGCATATACTTATACACAAAAAGTGATTATTATATATGTCAATTTTTCGGCGAAATTCGGGTAAAATAGCAGAATAATGGGATATATCAGTTCATGTTTTGGTGTAGGCCCCATGTAACGGTACCCTCCACTGTTCGGTATTTGGGGATTTTAGGTTTTCCAACCTGTAATTTGGAATGCGAGTGAAAATTATCGAGATTTTCCCGAGAGAGGAAACACGTATTTTCAAATCGAAATGTACAGGAGTCCAACTGAAGTCCGAAATTTTACCAACGAGTAAAACACCAATCCAAAGACTTTGGTGCTGTCACCAATGTCTTCCCTCCTCCATCTCACCTCCTGTAGAGATGGAGAAGGAAACCTAGTGACAGATACACAGCGTGTTAAGGATCTGGAAGGAGAATTTTGAAATGCTTCTGGTATCAAATAGTAACGGCGAAGAAGATCCCTAGAACCAACAAGAGAGTAGCAATCAATCGCCTGAAGAATAATAAAGCAGCTGG